CCCCAAAACCCCAAAACCCCAAAACCCCAAAACCCCAAAACCCCAAAACCCCATTTAAGATATATAAGACTGGTTTAATAATAAAATGAACGAACAAGAGCAAAAGCATGCTTCCGGAAAACATATCTATTCTCTATTAAACAGGTCTGAGGGTCATACACGCAAAGAAGTTTATAAGCAACTTGAAATAGAAGATGAGCCTTGGAATCAGTGAAAAGTTGGCCGCTCAAAAAGTCTCCATGAGTATTCTTTTGTAGGATTTTTGGTAAGGAACAGTCTAACAGAAAATTATTTGATAGGAGTCTTGTTGATGCTCGTAGCTACTTTTATGTGGACTGTAGTCCATATTGGTATGAAGCTTATGTATGTTTTCTCTCCTACGATGAGTCCATTTGATCCAGTTTTATGGATGGGTCTTTTCCTTTTGTTGTTTTCTCTCATTTATGCCAAGGTAGAGAAGGTTAATCTTAACATTTTGAGTTATAAACCCAAGATGCAGTGAGCTATATTATTGAGAGCATTCTTGGGTCTGGTTAATAACTTCTGCTTATGCCAAGGACTCCAGTATATTTCTGTTGGTAAAGCAGTCCTGATTTACAGCTTGAGTCCTATCTTCTGTGCTATTATAGCTGCTATATTCCTTAAAGAGAAGATTACTTGGAAGAATATCGCCTTGATTCTACTTTCAATCGTTGGAATATACTTATTGACATTGAACAAGTCGGAGGATCCCAAAGTTGCCTCGGATGAGACCTTAGGTTACTGCTTGATTCTAGCCTCAGCGTTTTGGTATGGATTAACATTTGTAGTTCTCAGAACATTGAGTCTGGGAGGTGTCCATATTCTTGTGCCTTTATTTTATTTTGGGTTAGGCTCATTGGTACAAAGTATATTTATAATGATCTTTCTACCTGGTCTCCTACACCTGAGTGAATACAGTGGCTATGTTCTACTTTGTTTTATAGCAATATCTATTTCATTCTTTGGTGGACAGTTAGCACTGATGTCTTCGACTAAATACTCAGATGCTTCTAAGCTAGCTCCTATTTCCTATAGTGAGAACATATTGACAATCCTTGCTGATGTTCTTGTGTTCCACTATCATTTTGTTATGACTGATATTATTGGAATTGTGATCATTACATTTTGTTTAGCGATACCGATTGTTCTTAAAGAGAAGTAATATAAATCATTCTTCTATGTATAATTCTTGCGCATAAAGTCATTACTCAAAGACAAAACTAAGCTTAAAGAATAATAAAAATATATTTTATAAAGCTTAATTTCAAGACTAGATAACTATTACGGGGTTTTGGGGTTTTGGGGTTTTGGGGTTTTGGGG